ATTCTCACGTCCCAGATCTCGGTAGGAGATGGGAGTTGGAATTGTGAAATGGTCAGCTGTCTCAGTGCTTCCGTGTCCAGGCCTGTTGACAGGGCTAGGTAGGAGGTGGCGGTCCGCGCGGGCCATCCTGATCTGTAGAAGAGTCCTCTTGATCAGCTCCTGTTCTGGTGTCGATGACATCTGAATCAGAGTCCCGAGGAGTACTTAGGGTATGCTGTGCCTCAGGATTGCCAGGGTCGACGCGTGAGCTTGGCTGGGTTGGTACCGTAAGCTTACCAGAGGGCTTCTTCCGAGGCGGCGCCGTGGCTGAAGTGTTGATGGATGGCAGGGAGACAAGGATGAAAACACTGCGAAGTTTAGCTCGTGCCAGGCGATGCGAGTCAAGGGTGGAGTCAACACATCCCCGATGTAATAAAGGCACGGAGCATGCAGTGAGTGACAAAGGCCCAGGCCGCGCCTGAGGGATCGGCCAAACAGACAAGGACCATTCCAGAGCACACGTGACCTGCCATAAATACAAGGGAACGGATGTCCCACTGGCATAGGCTGTCTGCAAGGAAGGGGTGCTGGGGCCACAACTGCCGCCGATGCCGATGCCAATGTATCCGGGGAGGAGGGACCTCAGCCGGGGGAGCATACAGCAGACCGAGTGGACTGAGTGCAACGCAGAGAGAAAAGCGGTGCTTGCAGTGCAGAACCTCATGTATGCGCTCGCCTTCTGTGCAAGGTCCGTGCTTCCCGCAGCTTTGCTAGCGGGCTGCGATCCAGAGCTGCGTTTGTCAGCCTCACTGGTAGTGAGCCAAAACCCCACCCTTTTCGGACGGCGTGAGTGATCAAGCTCATGCGGTTCCAGATTCCAGATTGTAATTGGCGTACTCCAATTCGGTGGCATCCTCCGTCTCCTTGGTCTTCCGAATCTTCGTGGAGCTCTTGGCCGTCTTGGTCCGTTGGAGTGCCTTGTTCTTGGCCGCAGCAAGCTTGGTCTTGACCTTTGCCGACTTCAGGTGCTTCGGACTGGGCTTTGTGCGCGGTCTCGAGCTGGATGGATCGCCGGCAGATACCGATGGCGGTGCATGGCTGTCCACCTTCTGTGACATGACTGTGGTGTCTGTTCCGGCCGACGTGTCAGGGCCGAGGAGCGACTCAATGAGATCACCAGGAGCAAGAGTAGTCCGGCTAGTATCACCAGTCGGTTCAGCCTCACCCAAGATTGTTGGAGGGCGGGAGGAGGCGGAGTCGTCCACAGTGATGACCTCGTGTACAAACTCAACGGCCGGCATGGCCGGCTTGAATGTCTTGGAAGAGGTCGGCCTGTCCGAGCAGGAAAGAGGGGCATCACTGGAGGTGCCAGCAGGCACCGGTCGCTTCTTGGGCTTCGGTGGAAGAGTGGCTTTGCTCTGCTTGTTCTCCCGAGAAGATCCCTGGCTCACAGGCTCAGTATTGGAGACCTGCTTGGTACGCTTCGGCTTCTCCTCGCTAGGCCATGTTGTAGCACAAGTCTGACAGGTGTCATAGTCGCACCGCCTGCATCCATAGAAGCCTGAGCCCTTAGGGTGTTCTGTGGCGCAGATGCTGCACCACCAGCCTGCCTCCGGAGTGAGGAAGTAGGCAAGGCCATGCTTACCCGGGCAGTCAGAGTAAATCCTGTCCCCTGCTCCAGCTTGGTCCATTTGAGGGTCCCGTGTCACCCTAGGCTCGTCCTGGGAGCGATCATCTTTCCGGGGTAGTGGTGAGTCGGCAGTGGAGTCGTCAAGATCCAGGGCTGCCTCAGGAGAAGAGGTGGCCGGAGGCGGACGGCGGCGTGGTAGTGGTTCACGCCCTTGAAGGTCCACAGTTGCACCCTGCTGGATGGCCGCCAGGTAGGGCCTTAAATAGACAGTGGTTGGCGGCGGAGTGGAGGTTGACCACTTGATGTAGCTTAGAAGTCGAACTTCGGAGTCTGTCAAGCGATATTCAGAGGACTTGTCGTCAGGGGCCTCTGTCAGATCCAGGCCACCACTATCGTCTTCCGCATCGGAGAGCACAGGGATGGTTTCAGCACGGTTGGTCCACACCCGAAATCCCGAGCCCTGTGCACTTTATGAAAGCCATGCTGCCCTCAGTTCCAAGCCACGACCCTAGAGGCTCCAAAGCCTTCCTACACAGTAAACCCCAGCAGGCCCCCCAAGCTGCTCATGATTATATACTTGCACACACACACATATACTGTCAGATGTGTGGAATATCTCATGCAGAGTCTATATCTCTCTCTCCATATATATATATAGATATATAGATATATAGATATATAGATATATAGATATATAGATATATAGATATATAGATATATAGATATATAGATATATAGATATATAGATATATAGATATATAGATATATAGATATATAGATATATAGATATATAGATATAGATATATAGATATATAGATATATAGATATATAGATATATAGATATATAGACATATAGATATATAGATATATAGATATATAGATACATAGATATATAGATATATAGATATATAGATATATAGATATATAGATATATAGATATATAGATATATAGATATATAGATATATAGATATATAGATATATAGATATATATGTGTACATACATACGCACATACATACATACATACATACATGTTTACCTACGTTGGGCAGCATACATATATACACATCACCTTTACACCTACATATATATATATATATATATATATATACGTGTATAAGTATGTGTAATGCCTGTGTACACCCACATACATACATACATATGTACATACATACATCTGCATGTTAGATGGTGTTATAGATATCATAGACCTCATCGATATTTTTAGAACTTGTGTGGCTATTGTCGAGACTGCCGCAAGCAAGACACCTTAAGCCCCAAACCCGAAACCTCCTAAACCTTAAACCTCCTAAACCCTAAACTTAACCCAAACCTAAACCCTAACCCTGAGCTGAAAACTCTAGTATGGCAGCGTTTGTCTGTGGTGCTTAAAGGATGATGGGACTTAGTAATTCGGGTCATAAATATGGTAACTATACTTATAAGTACTTATAACCTCAATTAGGGGACGTATAACCTTACATATGAAGTCCCTTGATCCTCTAAGTACACCCTAAACCCTAAACCTTATAGATCCTTTTCGGAGCCCCTATAGATCCCTTTAAGGATCCCTTTAAGAACCCATACTTACTAAGTCCCCTGATCCTCCAAGTAGACCCTAAACCCTAAACTAAACCCTACAGATCCCTTTCAGGAGCCCCTATAGATCCCTTTAAGGACCCCTTTAAGAACCCATACTAAGTCCCCTGATCCTCTAAGCGTGGTCTGCCAGGCAGCCTGAGGCCGCCTTTGCTCCGGGCTCAGAGTTTGGGCTTTTGGGGTTTAGGGTTTAGGGGTTGGGGTTTAGGGTTTAGGGGTTGGGGTTTTGGGGTTTAGGGGTTTGGGTTTTGGGGTTTAGGGTTTAGGGCTTAGGGTTTGGGTTTTGGGGTTTTGGGGTTAGGGTTTAGAGATTGGGTTTTGGGGTTTTGGGGTTGGGGTTTAGGGTTTGGGTTTTGGGGTTTTGGGGTTAGGGTTTAGGGTTTGGGTTTTGGGGTTTTGGGGGTAGGGTGTGGGTTTTGGGGTTTAGGGTCCAGGGGTCAGGGTGTGGGTTTTGGGGTTCAGGTTTAGGGTTTGGGTTTGGGTTTTGGGGTTTAGAGGTTTGGGGGTTTAGGGGTTGGGGTTTTGGGGTTTAGGGGTTTGGGTTTTGGGGTTTAGGGTTTAGGGTTTGGGTTTTGGGGTTTTGGGGTTAGGGTTTAGGGTTTGGGTGTTGGGGTTTTGGGGTTAGGGTGTGGGTTTTGGGGTTTAGGGTTCAGGGGTTACGGTGTGGATTTTGGGGTTTAGGTTTAGGGTTTGGGTTTGGGTTTTGGGGTTTAGGGGTTTGGGTTGTGGGGGTTGGGGTTTTGGGGTTCAGGGGTTTGGGTTTTGGGGTTTAGGGTTTAGGGTTTGGGTTTTTTTGGGGTTTGGGGTTAGGGTGTGGGTTTTGGGGTTTAGGGTTCAGGGGTTAGGGTGTGGGTTTTGGGGTTTAGGTTTAGGGTTTGGGTTTGGGTTTTCGGGTTTAGGGGTTTGGGTTTTGGGGTTTAGGGTTTGGGTTTAGGGTTTTGGGGTTTAGGTTTAGGGTTTGGGTTTTGGGATTTAGGGTTTAGGGGTTTGGGGTTTGGGGTTTAGGTTTAGGGTTTGGGTTTTGGGGTTTAGGGGTTTAGGGTTTAGGGGTTGGGGGTTGGGTTTTGGGGTTTCGGGGTTTAGGGTTTAGGGGTTGGGGTTTTGGTGTTTAGGATTTAGGGTTTGGGTTTTGGGGTTTAGGATTTAGGGTTTGGGTTTTGGGGTTTAGGGTTTAGGGGTTTGGGTTTTGGGGTTTTGGGTTCAGGGGTTGGGTTTTGGGGTTTTGGGGTTTGGGGTTTAGGGTTAGGGTTTTCGGGTTTAGGGTTTAGGGCTTTTGGGGTTTAGGTTCAGGATTTAGGGTTAGGGTTCGGGTTTAGGTTTAGGGTTTGGGATTTGGGTTTATATAGGTTTGGGTTTAGGGTTTAGGTGCCCTTGTCCGGATGTTCCTCCATGTCACATCCGAGCATCGACTTCTTCCCAGCAAAACCCTATGCCCAAGACCCTAAACCTAAACCCGAAACCCTAAACCCTAAATCTCAATCCAAAAGCCGAGCTGAACCCCGAACCCTAAGCCGTAAACTCTGAAACCGAAAAAGAAAGCCACGAAAGTGAGAGGCCCTACGGAGCTTCAAGTCCGCTCACGCCGCCGGCGTCTGAACCTCAGGGGCCCAGGTTGTTTCGTGCAACGGCAAAGATCTCTCGCTACCTTTTGGGGGAGCTAGCTTTGCAGTTCAGCTAGCTTTGCAGTTCTTCTGCGTGTTAAGGGTGCTTCGCAGTTGAAAACGAAGATAGCTGCGAGAAGCTCAAGCCTTGCCTGTTGTTTGACCATTCAGCGCTCCCCCACATCGGCCGCCATGGCGGTGCCAAAGCTTTGTGCCATCGCTGTGCTTCTCGCCAGCGCCGTGGCCATGCGGCAAATTGCCAAGACGGAAGCCCAGGGCACGCACCAGGCTCTCGTCCGCGAGCACGAGCACGTGGCGAACAACGCGACCACGGCGAAGTCCGGCCCCTACGCCCCCCCTTGGTCATGATAAATACACGGGTAGCGGGCACCGGCAGCAGTGCCACGTCCAGAGCAGTTTCAAGTGGGTAGGTTCCCTTACTACATACTTGTTTCAGAACCTTCAGTACCCTTACAGACACCTCATTTGCAAGCTGTTTGTAAGGAACCCACCCCACCTGAGAACTCTCCACCTGAAACCGTGCAACAGCCCCAGCCTCAGCGCCGTCAAGCGGAAGTGCTGAGGCAAGCGTGCTGCATGTGCGAGACGAACTGGATCGGCATTTGCAAGGGCGGCACCGGAACACAGACCAGAAACTGTGGCTTCGGCTGCGATATGGACTGGGACGGCTACAAGTGCTGGCATGTGTACCACGACGAGTCTGGGAACGACAACTGCCACGTGTGACCCAGCAGAGGCGGTGGAGCAAGCCGGCGCGGTTTGGAGAAAAAGCGGGCAGGACTGGGGACGTGGGGCTCATCAGCCTTATAGACTGTAAGCAAGCAGATGCGTTTTATGCGCTTTGTTGCTCGCTTTGCATGTCTCAGGCGCCGCCACCCCGGTGGTTTCCCATTGCTTCAGGCAAGCCGGGTTCAGGGTCTCGTTCACTGTTTCTCCCCAGACATGATGCCTCGTCAATCAGCTCATGCGAAGGCTCAGAGGTCCTAAGCACATCAATGTGCTCCCACATGCTCATTGTGCACCTCAACTGCTTGTGGAGACGGGACGTGTCCGGAATGCAGTTTGGGTTCGGTTTTCGTCGATCTGCCTCGAGTCTGTGGAGAGACGGCTTCTGTACCGAGCGTGCAGAGGCACCGTAGACCAACAGCCAGAGGTCTCTGTCAAAGTCCACGCAGAATCGCCAGTTAGAGCCGCATGTGCTAAGCAGGTTTCCAGCTGGCTGAGAGACGAGGTCGCTGCCTTCTTGGGAAGGGATGGGACTCCAGAAAATCCGAACTCCGCTGATTCAGTGGTTCAATTTAGTAGGATTCATATAAGGGACCATAAAAAAGGCCCAAGGTTTCTTAATCAGGTTCCTACATTAACCTTTCTGGTTCTGGTTCTGGTTCGGTCCCTGGGGCTCTTTTTGGGCGCGACCCAAAATGTGCAGCTTCGACGAACTGCGAGGTTTTGTTCCCTCGCCTCTGCGCAGAACTTGCTTGGGGAGGGCCCGCGCCGGGGGATGTACCGGTTTAGGATTTAGGGTTTAGTTTTTAGGGTTTAGAGTTTAGGGTTTAGGGTTCATTCTTTGGGTTTAGGGTTTAGGGTCTAGGGGCCAAAAACTGTCCCCAGCCCACACTCAAAAAGACAAGGCATCTACATGAGGAGATTTCATCACCCACATGACCCACACCGTAAGCTCACTGAGCCCAGAGCCAGCTGAAAAGCACATCTGAGATGCTATGATGAGCCACTCATCACGGAGCAGAAATCCGATGGTATGCACTCAAGGGAGCAAACACTTGACCATCCAGCCCGCTTTGCCGCAAAGGTCTTCCTGTAAACGGGTCCTCAACAGGCCATCCTTCGTCTGCGAGTCCTGAACCTTTAGCCATTAAACCCGAAACTCCCAAAATTCTAAACCGTACAGAGCTTGAATTCCCTGAACCCCTAAACCCCAAGCCAAAAGTCCCTAAGTGCCTAAGCCCCAACACCTCTAAAGCCTAATTGAGATCGGCCAGGCCGGGCAGCCGGAAGGACTTCAGCGAGTCGGACCTCACATCTGTCCGTTCCTTAATGTACTGAAGGGTTTAGGGTTTGGAGCTTAGGGTTTAGGGTTTGGGGTTTAGGGTTTAGGGCTTGGATCATAGCAATAGCAATAGCAACAACAGTAGCAATAGCAATAACAATAAAAGCAGCAGCAGCAGTAACGATAACGAGAAGAGGAGTCATTATAAACGCCATAGTTGTATGAATCACAAAATCGAGATTGTACTTGCTGCTGCTACTACGACGACGACGATGGCGGCTGCGAGGACGACGACGACCACAGCTACCACTGTACTTATAGTATCCATGATAAGAGTAGTGGTAGGAGCATGACAAGGACTATTGATGACGAAGGCATGAGCCACAGTGATAATACTAATGCGCAGTGGTACTGCAGTGGTGCCAGGAATCATACAGTTTGACGATACTAGTATCAGTAGTAATCGTAATCATAATCATGGAGGTATTGAGTAACACTACTGAAACACTACTGATTACTAATGATGATAAGTTACAACAACAATAAAGTTGTGCTCATAGTCGTAGTCACAGAAATAATCACACGTGCAATAACAACGACTGCAACAACAGTAACAGTAGTAATTTCAGCAACAATACTATTACAAGTACTGATAATGTTGTGATTGATTGCTTGCACTGGTGTTATGTAACGATAACAACATCCGCAACCTATCCGTGCAAGCATCCAGCTATGTTGTTAATCCTTCCGCTCGGTTCCATTCCGTCCACGACGATTTGCTGAACGCGCAGAAGTTGCCGGTGCTTGAGCAACATCTAAGAGACGTATACCTCGGGCATAGCTTGGTGCTGCGGGACACAGAGACAACGAATCATGTGGGCGGTGGAGTTGAGGGCACGTCAGCGCCCCTCGCAAACATACTTGTTTGGAGCTGCTGTGTTTATCATGTCGTCGTTCCTGGGCTCTACGATGAGGCTTGAGTCCAGGCTTTATCGCACCGTTCTCGCTGAGAGGGCGGTGCGAGAGGAACATGAGCAATTCTGATGTTCAGATGCTCATGATGCTCATGCGAGTGATTTGCATGACATGGGACCGAAGCCGTACGGGTCTGGTGTCCGACAGCCCAGGGGCATTGACTGTCATCATCCTGTACTTGCTCCTACTTAAAGGATCATGGGACTTAGTAACTAGGGTTATAAATAAGCTAACTATACTTATAACCCCAATTAGGGGCTTATAACCCCACTTACTAAGTGCCCTGATCCTCCAAGTAGACTCGGATTCGCCAGAGATTGGGCCCAGTGCCAAAAGCAGGAGGGCAGGCCCTTGAAATTCTCCTTCCAAGGTGATCCGGCGGAAGCAAGTCCATTTAGCAACGCTCGGGGCTCAGAGGATTTTTCGTTGATTGGGAGTGTTGCGTTGCGTTTCACGGTTCTCCAATGCTCCTGGAGACCTCACCGGAAAGCTTCACTCAAACCTGGGTGCGGCGAGTCTGCTGAGTTGCACACTCTCGGCCGTTTCCCGGACCTTCCAGGCTATGTTGGAGCGGCATGCTGCCATGTTTGCGGCCCAGTTCGTGCGGAGGTAGTGTGCTATAATTTGTCAAAGCATGCATACTATAGTAGACTATGTAATTAATGTACTGCATCATACTATAACGCATGCCGGAATCGATTGGCTTTCCGGCATAATCACGGCGGGGTCCATTCTCACTGCTTCGTTAAGGCGGAAGCGCCGGCCAAAGCATCCACAGCGCGTGGTGATCCAGCCTCCTGCGGCAACCGACGAGGAGGAGGCTTGGGGGAATAGGGTTTCGGGTTTTGGGGTTGAGGTTGTTTAGGTTCTGGAGGTGGGTTTAGCTTTAGGGTTTGAGGTTTAGGGTTTGAGGTTTCGGGTTTGGGGGTTAAGGCTTTTTGTTTCGGGTTTGAGGTGTAGGGTTTGAGGTTTGGGGGAGGTTTGAGGTTTCGGGTTTAAGGTTTAGGGTGTCGGGTTTAGGGAGGCTTGGAGTCTGGCAACACGACAAGAAGAACAAGACCAGGTCCCGCCACCTTGCCCGGCGGTAGGATTGGCAACTGCCGATACACGGTAGTAGCACCCGTACTTCGCCCCATATACACCCCTAAGACCATCCATCCATCCATCCATCCATCCATCCATCCATCCATCTGTCCATCCGTCCATCCGTCCATCCATCCATTCATCCGTCCATCCACCCACCCACCCATCCACCCACCCACCCACCCACCCACCCATCCACCCACCCACCCACCCATCCACCCACCCATCCATCCATCCATCCATCCAACCATCCATCCATCATTTATCTACGATCTATCTATCCATCTACCCATCTAACATACCCATGTGTATCTGCAGAACTCTGGCAGGGCTCCGAGAATTTCTCTGTCTCTGGCATTCGCCTGGGCACGCAGACGCGAGGCACGCAGACTCAAGCCCAGTCATGGGTATAGGATTTTAGGGTAAGCCTGCAGCAAAAGGGTTAGTCCGAGGTGATTGGTAATGGTGGCGTCGGTCTCGACGCTCCGTTCACTCCCCCTCCCGCTGCTTCTGTTGCTTCTTATTGAGACGTTACCCCGGCCAGGGGGTCAGCTTGCAAAATCTGGTCACAGCCTGAAATATGCTGAACGAGATTCGCAGAAGCAGTGGAAGCACGATCGTCGCAGTCGCATCGGTGGTGGTGGTACGGTGGTGGCTCGGTCGTGGTTCTTGGTGGCGGCACCGATGATGGCAGCAGCCGCGTCAGCAGCAGTGGCAGTAGAAACAGTAGTTGCAGCAGTTGGAACACAAAGACGAGCAACAACTTAGGCCGGCAACAAGGAGTTTCATACAGCCTAATCCCAAGTTAAAGCTTACCCGGCTTCCGTCTTCCACCCTGAAGCTCACATGCAAAGCTTCACACCAAAGAAACTCTCAAATCGGATGCAGGTTGAGAAGGTAGCTTCGTATTCAGCAGCTTTGAGATCTTCTACCCTAAATGACCAAACCCCTACACCCTAAAGCCCTAAACCCTAAAGCCCCAAACCCTAAACCCCTAAACCCTAAAAGCCCGAAGCCCTAATCACCACTTACAGGTGTTGCGGCCGGACCTGTGGCCGCCGATTTTGCAGCCCTTAAGGCGAAGAAGGCCAGCCGCAACACAAATGAGTAATCAACAAAAGAAAGAAACAAACAAAAGAATAAGCACACTACTATGTAGGTGTGTGTGTGTGTGCATATATATATATACATATTTATTATATATACACGCATAAAGGTGTATGTATGTGAGTACCTGCGCTCGTATGGATGTATATACACGCTTTCAAAATACCAACAGAATTCCGTAAGGCTTCTTTTAGCAAGTGTTATTACTGTTATTGTTCTCGATATTACCATTATTACTATTTTCAGTGTCAATATTCCTTGGAGGCCCTCATTATGCCCATAACTTGCTGGTTTAGGGTGTAAGGTTTAGGATTACATAGAGGTTTAGGAATTCGGGGGTTTCGGGTTTGGGGTTTAGGGAAGCTCAGTGAGCACAAGGCAAGAAGCAAACACATCCGAAATCAGTGGAGGAGCAGTTGTACAGCTCGATGCAATCTTCCCCGGACCCTAAACCTCCAACCCCAAACCGTCTTGGCTCTCTTTCGGCCCTTCCTACCGATGTAAGGAAAGCCCCGGGAGGCTACCATGGGAATACACGGACTTCTGCAAGCAA